AAAAAGTGATGTTTAGACCAAAATTCATTAATTTCAAACACATTGTAATAAAAATTTCAATTTTACCATCGAATTACGGAATAATAAAAATTCATAAATTATAAAAAAGGAACATTTTTTGAGAAATAATGTTATTTTATTTATAAAATATCTTTCTGATTTTTTTACCAGACTTGTACTACAATATATACTGATACAATCTTCAAATCTTAAAATATTCATGTAAAAATACGATATACGAGAAAGATAGTAAAACAAATAAAAGAAACGAGCTGCATCCCAAGATTAGAAAATAAAATGTAGGTAGCTATAGTTCGTAAAACAAATAATAAAATTTAATTTGTTTATACGGAGGTCCGTCTCGTGTCAATCCGGATCAATTCGTTTTATAATCGCGCTCTCAATCTCTGTTAAGCAGACAATTCGAACTCGCGATATAAAAGTAATCTCGTAACGAAACCAGGCGAGTGCGGCGGATTTCAAGAAACGAAATGAGGACGTTTGTGAATCCACCAAGTCGCAGACAGCGTAACAACCGTCGAAAGTGCTCTCTTGCTGGCAGTACGGTGGAAGAAGAAGCTCACTCCGGAGACGAGTGAACTTCAAGAATGTAACTCCTTGTGCTTGATAACTCAACCCGCAGAGGGAAAGCGAGAGGGAGAGAGAGAGAGCTAATAATTTTCTCTTCCACCCGACGCGAATTGTCTTCTTTTATGCTGTGACATCAATTTTTTTTTTACCAACATATTTTCCAACGTGACATTCTTAATCACTGATGAATCTCTACCTATTCTACTCTCTTCGAAGAGAAAAAAGTATATCAAATCTTTTATGGGTCGTTAATTTGGAAATTAACTTTTAAAATATGAAACTTTTTCTGCTCAGACATTTTTAAAATATATTTCATTTCTATAAACTTCTAATTCTTGATATAAAAAGAAATTCGTGTAAGGATCGATTATAAATTTGCATTCAAAAACTAGATAAAATTGGACGCAAAATGTGAAATACACTGCACAGGTTTTGTATATACATGAAATTTATTTAATAAACATACATATTTTCTCGCTTGCAAACGCATAAGAGGATTAATATTTCGTCGGTGATTTGTTTCACTGCGGTCCTGGATTCTTCACCTCTTCGGAATTAATTAGTTTGCCCAAAGGCTCCTGGCAAGTTAGTATTATTCCACCGTACGTTTCGTATATTCTCTTGTATTTTCCAAAGTGTGAAAATCGTATACATTGTCGCCTCGTTTACAGGCTTTTGCGAGAATCGAAATACGAAAGTAGACCCGGGAGAAACGTAGGTCCACCCCATTTATCATCCCCTCATTCCGACGAGACCGTAACGATACGGAGCTCACTGAAACTTTGCCAAATTATGGCAATAATATCACTTAGAATCCCGAGTCTCGGCGAAATTTCACTTAAGCCGACAGTTAGTGAGAATATACGAATTTACGACGCACGACTCTTTAATGTTCGATCGTTCCCGAAACAACAGACTTTAACCTATCTACGAACGAGCCACTTAATGATCAGCCTCTTCCGGATCTCCCTGATTTCGCTATTTGACTTTCTCTTCTTCACCTCTTTACGCTAACCGTATCGAAATTGAAGTAAATACAGTTTTCCAAGCATATTCAACATTAAATACCATAAACACGGAATAATATATTTTATGTTGATTGAAAAAGTGAATAAAAAAAGATGGATAGAAATTCTGGAAATTTTTGTTGATTTCTTAAGTAATTTTATTCGTGGAAACTCAATTTATGTCATGTCTAACACGTCAAAATGTATTCACATAGTTTGCAATATTGAATCTCATTTTGAATTCTTGAGCGAGTCAAACATTAAAGGGATTCGATTTTTTAATAAAAAAAAAACCTTTATTCCCTTTTGTTAAAAAATTCTCATCCCTCGTGAGATCTTGGTCGAAGTCAAATTTAAAGTTCATCTTCAGACGGATAAATCGATTTCCTTTAATGATCTTTAGTCACCGAAAAACCTGGAACAAGATTATAACTTCAAGTTTAGCTAACTTTTTTTCTTAGACTAAGTATAAAGTTTATAAGAGGCAGGGAAAGAATTAACTTAAGAATAATTTTTAAACTGATCATTGTTTCAAGCTCTACTCTAGGCTTAAAAACAGAGTTAAGGAGAACTTTTCTCTGCTTTTTTATTGATTTGAAACAATTATAATACATTGAATTGTAAAGGTTGGAAAGAAATTTCTTTGCTCGCACATTATGCTTAATTTATTTAATTACATTAAGTATGTGTATGTATAAAGCTATCAAATTCTTATTATCAGAAATTTTATGGAAAATTTCTATCTTAGATTTCAAAAACATCTTCGCAGCCTCTTGCGAGCCGCTTAAAGCTTTAAGCACCGCTCAGGCGTTATTCCCGCAGCGTCTAACGGATAAAATGGCATAGCTCCTCGAATTCTGTTTTCAAAAGTCACACGATAAACGCGCGAACGAAGCGCACCTTATTGAACTGCTTCGTAACTCGATTAAAGCCACTCCATGCTCGCGAATAATAATAGCGGCTCATTTAAGCGACCGTGCAGACGACGAGTCTTCGAGTTTTGTGCTTCCATTTGTGAAAGGGTGCTTGATTGAGAATGTAAGTTCGCGAAAAGGGAACTCACAAGAATCGCGCGAACGGAGAGAAAAGAAAACGAGAAATAAATGAATCAATATAAACGCACTGGAATTAATAATCAAATCGAATTTATTTTACGTTTCGGGGCAACTTTATCTATGAATAACAAAATTAATATCTATTTATTGTACATAACGCAAAACGTAAAATGGAGAACTTTTTTTTTATTTATGTAGGTATATAAGTAATAAGTAATTTCTCTTCTTTTGTAAATTTTGATAGAACAATTGAGTCAAATAAAAAAAAATGAATAAATGATATCATTCTTTATCCACACACAAACAGCTTTAATGTTTTGTAATAAAAAAAAAAAAAAAAAAAAAAAAAAATTAAAAAATTGAATAAATAAAAATATGCGGCATACATCTGGAAAACGAATTCATAATTAATTGTTATAAAATAAAAATAAAATGACGTTTTTAATTACCTTTACAACTTTCGGTATTAATAAATAATCTTGGCGTTAAAGATTTCAAAGTTTCTATTTAAAAGCTCAATTTTTAATTTTTTTAACAATCTCTCTTTACTTATAAATTTGAAAACTACAGCTATTCTATACGAATTTATATTAATATTACGATATAGTTCACGCTTGCGCAAATTCTTTCTTCTTTGGAGAACCGGAAGATTTTAACGCAGTTAACCTGAAAGGTTGGCTGAGATGGGATATATGTAGAGGAGAGTAAAGTGATGAAAGGGGAAGACGACAGTTCGTTCACAGGGAGAGAGGTACTAAAAGCCTCGTCGAATTCTTCACGTCGTCTCGTCCGTTCGCGCACACCTGACGACATGAATTTTGATTTGCAAATGAAATCTCAACTTTGTCGGGAATTTCGCACTCGGCAATCTTCCTCGTACCGCCTTTGTTTTCGGCAGCTTTCACGACCAGCTCCAATTATACGGACTTATTCTCTCTCTTCGCCCGGTTCCTTTCATTCCGATTTCAATTTTTTTTTTCCGATCTATTCGCTTTCTTTCCTCCTTCCTTCCGTGTCGTCATCGATCTACGGCTTCCTTTTCTCCTCTTAGTCGAGAACTTTCGCGGAGAATGCCGGACAGAGAGGAGGAACTCGCGGCATGAAATTCGCGAACGGACTGAATTCTAATTATCCCGGCGTTTCTTTCGCGCGTTTTTCACGTTCTTCGTTTTTTTCCCCCTTTTTTTTTGCCTTTACCGCTTTCGCTGGATCGCGTCGTCCTTCGTTATGCGCTACCGCATATTGCAAAAACGCCGGATCCTCGGAAAGGGACGGAAGTAATGGCCGAAGCGGAGTGGAAATCAAAAAAGCGAGCGTCTATGCGAATCGTGCTTACGAACTGTACGTGATTGCCATTGAAATGCCTTGTTTGTTGTATGAGCGACAAATTATTTTATATTAAATTGGTTTACTGATATAGATGTGGAGTTTTTTCGGATTTTCTCGCGACGGTATGAAATCAAATAAATGAGAATATGTTATTGAGAGATGATAAAGCGAACTTTATTCATAATTATATGAATACGGAGACAAGATAATAAGAATTTTAACTTGATTTAACAAAGTTTATTGCGCCCAATTTCGCTCAACTGCGAATTCTTTGATAAAGTCCGAGCGTTTTATTAATTAAAATTTAATCACGATATTCTTTTATTATTTTAATATCTAATATACAGGATGTCCGACAATAATCTATCGCGTGGAAGTAGAGCGATTTAAACCCCTATCCTCTTTTGCAACCCTTTTTAATTAATTTTTCCTTAATCATCCGTCCTGTCTTGCGATCTTCGCAATAATTAAGGTATGACTTTCCTAATACGAACTACATATGTTTCATTTTACTTTTGTTTTCCATTTATGTTAATCGTTGATATCACAGAAAAAAAGGAATCCTTGATTCAAGTATATTTTTATTCTTGAACGCTATTTGATTGATTTAAGCATAGAATGCTCTTTGTAATCACAAATTTTCATTTGCCTTAATAATAAATAAGTTTGTGTGAAGTATATTTTATAATATACTTAAGATATATTCTTGTTTTAAAAATCGCATATGATAAAAACAAACTTAGTCACATTTGAACTAAGAATTATTATATATACTTGAAAGTACCGTTTATATCCGATGCTCACTTGTCATTTATCCTTGCAATATTTATAAATAAATTTCAGCTTCAACCAAGAATATTTTGCACTTTGTTTTAAGGATAAATTATCCTTTATCCAAAATTATTTCTATTTGGCGCTATTATAAGGATGAAATATACTTGAATCAAGGCATATTTGCATTCTTTCAAGGATACTGTTTTTTCTGTGATTAAATTCGCGATATCGTCTTTGTTTGCAGTGAAACCGTTGAAAGTGGAAATTTTGGGGAAGGATCAAGTCCTCTCGGCGGGAAAGATGTATGACGTGAGATGTCAGAGCAGCGGTTCAAGGCCGTCGGCGGTCCTGACCTGGTGGAAGTCCTCGAAGCAGCTGAAGGGGCTCAAGAAAAACGTGAGTATCGCCAAGAATCTTCTTCCTTGCGCTTCGCGAGGTAAAAACATGCCTGCGCTCGAACGAACCGCGCCGCCGTTTCGCGCTTAATTGCATCCCTTCACTTAACCACTGTTTCGAGATACGAGAAACATTCTCTTTTTCCCTTTCTCTCGATTACACAACTTCACTTCGCTTTATTACATAGACTAAGCTGAGCGCTCTTTCTCTCTCTCTAATGATGTAAACCATTTTATTTAAGCATAAATATTTTTGCCACGGTGAGACAAATAAATTATCGTTATAATCAAATCGCAGGTATAAACATATTATTTCAAGGTTTATTGATTCAATTAAAGAGGAATTTTATTATTCTGCCTCGAAATAACGTAGATCCTAATTGGTACCTCTATTTTTGTAATTATTTTAGCTGTATTGCTTTATTTGTGTAACAAGGATGCGACTCATTTTATCAACATGTTATTTAAATACAGAGGTTTTCGCGATGAAAGAACGAACGAAGCGAACGAATATTACTATCGTTATTGTTTTAGTAAAAAAAAAAAAAAAAAATTCTATTATTATTGCAGAGTATTGTTAATTTACTTGGTCGTTTATTATTATTTTATTTCATAATACTCAGATTCCAATCAAAATCTTAATTTTCGCTTGTTCTCCTCTTTTAGATCCCGTTCTCGTGTTACTTTTATATACAATTGATTCGCGTCGCCATTCATTCCATCATCTCGTTTCGAAATTGAAATCTTCGATTCGCCGTCTCGGAAAAATCGCGATAACACACATTTTCCCTATAATATCAATCGCGCGAAGAAAGAGCTCGTTCGCGACGCTCGCCAAATCGACACGCGGCGAAGAATCGGTCTCTCTCTCTCCCGCGATTAAACAAAAGAATAATAGAAAAGCGCGAGTACGAAATAACGACGGCGGAAATGACGTCGCGGCGGAAGATGATGCGCGATCTTTCGTCGCGAAATTGACGGAGAACCGCTTCCAGGGCAAATCGATTCTCTCGTTGCGCTCTACGGCTCTTCGCGCGACGCGACGGAGCGAAAATAAAAATGACAGTGCCTCGATACACGAAATACTGCTGGGAGCTCCTCGCCTGCGACGTAAATGGGAACCCGTAGAAATAAATTCGCCTTTATCTCGCGCAATTTCCACCCTTCCTTTGTCCATCTATTCTCTATCTCGCTCTTGCACATCCAGTTTTCTTATAATTTCTTTCTTTACTTTTTGTACCTCGGTCCAATGCGGTTGTCTACTTTGAAAGCTTCTCTGCTAATTGAGAGAAGCTTAGATCAAAGAGAACATTTATTTTAAGGTATATATCTATAAAAATGCCGAAAAAGTATATAGGACCGCATCCTTTGATGTAGGTGTAAAATAATGGGTGGATAGATACGGATGACTCTAAAAATATATGACTAGAATGGAGGATGAATTTTAATTCATGATTGCAAGTAGAAAAAGCGAGCCATCGCGTGCGACGACCGCGCGCAGCACAAAAAACGTCATTTTTTTTTTAGAAAACAAGCTTATATTTTTATATTAAAAAATTTTCATATGTACTCGCTTGCCATATTTTTCGCATATATTATCCACGGAATTTTATTTTACCCCTATATGTTACAATGATCTATAAAAAGAGAGATAAATATAATAATTTATCCGGATTTATTCCTCTTTGTTTGCCTAATAAAAAATATGTCGTTATTATAATGGCGATTTTTCTGCGATGTTTCTACGATAATAAAATCATTATAACTGTCCACTCTTGTTGAAGGCTGGAGGGTGGGATCAGCTGAAAGTCGAGAGCTCGAGGGATCAAAAATTCATGTAACGAATTTAATAACGACAAAAAGCTCGTACGACTTTTATAAATGACTCTATCAGGAAGATTAGACCCTACGTCTAATCATCGTTCCGATATAAAATTTGCCCTGCTCATCTTTCCTTCTCCCTTCGGATCCCCAAGGGTGGAAAGACGATGTCTACATAAATGAATTTCCGGCTGAACCTGACGAGGTTGTTTCTTCGGGACGATTAAATGGGGAGATTGGACGCGCACCCTTGTTCGTCGCTGTATTTACCTCCCGCGATAATTTTGGAATTGCACCTCGAGGCTATATCTGTTATCATCTATGTCAGTGATTCTCAACCAATAACTTGCGAAGGTTCTTTCATAGAGACTTGCAATTAAAAGTTCTATAATAGCGCTTGCTTCAATCAAAACTTTTTTTTATATATATATATATATATATATATATATATTTTTTTTTTTTTCAAAGTATGATTTGTAATATAATTTATAATATATAATATACATATATGGTTTATGACCCATTAATCAACCCATTCAATTGTGAATTTATTAAAATAAATAGTGTTTTTACAATCAATAACTATATATTATAACATGAAATAAAACTATAATAAAACATAAAATACTAAATATAAAATAAATCTATAATAAATATCACTGAAATAAAATTTTCTAGGTAGTGAAAGATATAGCTGATTTATCTTTAGAGAGATAATAATATTGTAGGTCAATTCGATACGCGATATTATAACTGTAGATGAAATAATTGGGACTGATAATTTCATTAATATTTCCGCTCGTTTTGTATGTAATAATAACTCGTGCAAGCGAAATAATCGATTTTCATTAATAAAAGATCTCGTAAGCTACTTAGCGAGTAAGCGTAGCGGAAATATGCGCTGTATAAATTTTTTTAGTCGTAAATTTAATCCAAAAGTTTTTACCCGCAAAAATCACGGGCAAATTTCAAACTGTTAAGGAATAACATGCTGTCCGTTGGAAACGATTTGTGCCGCTATCTCGCGAACAGTAATAACTCGCTCGGACCATCCGATAATTAATTGGATCATGGGAACTGTCCGCTCGATAATCACGATAAGTCCTTCCACGAGATATTACCTCGCGCACCGATGATTATTTCCACGGAATATTTTTCTCTTCTCATTACACGTTCCAGTTTTGACATTATGAGCCTGGTGATAGCGATTGTAAAATTACAATGCACAGATTTCCAACGCTTTATATTAAATCTAATAAGAAAATACAAGAAGAATTTATGTCAACAATGCGTATTATTCATTTTCTGCATTAATTTTGATTTCTCAAAATAAATATTTTGTGTGAAAAACTTTACATAAAATTTCATATAGAATTTAATTCAAATCAAAATTGAGTCTAAATTAATTGCATTAATATTTCAATATTAAAGCAGTTTTTTTTTTTAATTTAGTAAGATTTTTATTAATGTTTGTATAGTTTATAAATTCACTGATTGGATGATAAATCAATTATAAACATTTCTTACACAATTCTCGCTATTGATTTTGTATTGTCATGCTTTCGCTTGTTGTACGATATAATTGAAAATCACAAGGGATGCGGACGGCGACGTCGAGAAAATTTTCAATCGATAGAAAGGAGTGACTCCTCCTGGAAAAAATACCTACTCGACAAAGCGACAGGCATGGTAGCGTGCCAACGACAGGGCGGATCGTAATTCTCGACGTGTTCTGTCTTACATATTATCGTAGAGATCGTTTTTCGCGTCGGTTGGCATAACTTCAAGCCACTCGCCGGGAATCGTGATAATAATTCGTACCGATCTGCTTTCTTTTAAATTTAATCCAACGTGGTCAAAATCAGCAAAAGCGAGTCGATCAATGTCGATGGATTGGTATTAGGAAAAAAATGCATTATATATATATATGAAATGCATATTTTATTTGTTTGTTATACATTCTGTGGAAAAACGTTATTAAGTATATATTAAATATTTTTCCATTGTCCAAATATTATGCAATGTGCTTTTATTATTAAAAGTATTTGATCCACATATTTCTATATTTTCAAGTTTTAATACTATTAACAATATTTATTAATATATATATATATATATATATATATATATATATTAATAAATATTGTTAATAGTATATGTATATATGCGTGTGTGTTCTAAAATTGAATCCTAAAATATTTTTCTGCTTAATCGAAATCGCGATAAACTCTGTCAGTACTTTGATGGCTCTCGATTGAAATGGGAATAATGGCAATTCCATCGTTTACGATTCATCCTCGTACGATCGATTAATTTCAGGTTCAATTACTTTTGAAAGACGTACATTCATCCAGTGCACGCCGAAGGGTTTTGCAAATGAAAAAGCACTGAAAGGCTTTTATCACGGATAGGGATTAAGTACGCGCGCTTATTACATCCGAGAAGAGACCGTTTGTCTAATTACACGTTGGCACCATATGACCCGTCTGCCACAACTTTGATGATTTTTTTTAGTACTTGATTCTTCGCTTTTCGTTTTTCTTATCCGTGAAAACTAGGTTATCCGATGCTGCGAAAATATGTTTCGTTTAGAACTCTACGATTTTTTATGGTACATAATTTTTTACGATAATTTTTCAAGCGATCTTTGTATATACAACTTGCAAAGAATGCATTTGGACATTCCGTTGTAAAATCCATCTTGAACTTGGACTGCTTTTTAAAGTATTTCTTAAAGCGGATATCGGAATAACGGGTCGGCAAAATCCCCAGGGATAAAACAAAGAAGCGAATAATCGCAAAAAAAAAAAATGTCTCGTATGTCGAATAGACTGTCTCGCGAAAGAAACTGTATACCCTCTTATATAAATCCAGCTCTCCCGTCGGGAGACTAAGTCTTAATGTCTTTTGATTCTTTTTTCGAGGGAGATGTTATAGCTAGAAAGAATCTCATGCAGATATTTTTCGCGGCTTGGATTCGTGGAACTTTGTTAAATTGTTTAAATCAATCTGATTTGATCTGAGAGAAAGAGATTTGTTTGAATGTAGAGAAAGAGAGAGAGAGAGAGACAGCTTTCTCAAGTGAGATCTTTCGAAAAAACATGTCTCTTCACGAGAATAATATACTCTCGGAAAAGATACGTATTGAGAGTATAAGAAACATTATTGCGAAGCACTCAT